TAAATAGATCTTTGATGATTTCTCTTCCCTGTGCCTAAGCTAATATAACATGTTAGGACACATGCGTTATATATATCGGATCAAGTCGTGGAGCGAAGTCGTGGATTTTCTGCTACATGTTCTTTTTGTTATAGATGAAATCTTTTGTAATCACGGGCTAGATTTATTTAGTCGAACTTATCGGAGGGCCATGATTATTTGTGTATAGATGCGAGGGATTTTGCACAAATTTTCTATCTCCTACTCGATTTAATATAACCTATGATGATATATGAGTTATGTTGGGTTAGATCGTGACGTGACAGGTGTTTCCCATCAATTTGAAACCAGCGTATAAAAAATGAAGAGTAAGTAGGTTGTAGAAGAGTCGCTGAGCCTGACCTAATAACTTTCATGAATTCATTTAAGCATATAAGAAATAAATTTAACCAATTAAGTCACAGGTACTTAGCTCCAGTTTGTCAGCTTACCTAATTAACGATAATATGAGCAGGGGACCATACATGATCTATTGTATCAATAGTAGAGGAAATGATGAGACAATTATGAGGTCTTCATGAGAAACATCTATTATTACGCAAATTAATTTCTCCTGAATCGAATCGCTAAGATCAGTTGACTAGTGCGTCAGCTTGGGAAAGTCTTAGGCTTCATTTGGAATAATTTTTTTTATTGTTTTTAAAGCAAATTTTTAATAAGAAAAATTCTTAAATTTCTTGAAATTTCCGTATTAAAATGCTTGATACTTATCCAAAAACCATATTGATCGGGCACAAATCTCGATGCAAACATGAATAAAAAAATTCCAAAATTAAATTTGGGTCCAAACTCCTATTTCAACAAACTTATAGTCAAATTGAATATATGAAGAAGACGAACCCAAGAACACCAAATTCGGTCCAATCCAAGCCCAAATCAAAAGACCAGGGCCTACTTGAAAACTTCAAAGCATTAATTGGATGATGACCAAATGATATTTAAATATGACATGCTTATAGTCGAATCTAGCAGCTAGACGAGATGAATCAAATGAGTTCAAGATCATTCAATTCTGACATCATTAGGACATTTAAATGTTTGATTAACACTATAATCATGGGGACCATTATGAGCCATCTGATAGAACACTCCAAACTTGCTATATAGTGGATTTTGCATTTAAGCCAGATCCCGAGATTTTTTCCCTTTCAGAAAATTTCACGTAAAAAATTCTCTAGTCTTACTATTATTATCTGTTTGTGTTAAGTTTATGTAAAACACGAAGATGTAAATCACAACGTAAATCACACACTCCACCGGCTCAAATTTTATAGTGCAGAATAGTTTGACGTCATTTGTGGGAAACATTCCCAACATACTGTTGCAATGGTCAACAATCAATATCTCGATCAAGAACAATAAAATGAGGGTGATAAAGTCCCCCCATGTCTCACTTTAGAGGATCATATGCTTAGGATTGAAGAACTTCAAAGTTAAATCCTTCAACAATTAGAGGAGGTTGGACAATAGAGAGTACCATCATAATATGATGGAGTTCTCCCTCCATAATATCAATAATAGTTTGGAGACAACATCAATCGAGGAGCCCCACCATCCCTACAAGCTTATCAAGATATTTCTGATACAATTGGTTCAACAAGTCCATATGTGGACATCTGTAATCCTTATTAGGAAAATCAAACCCTGATGTTGGGCATAAAAATCCATCTGTGGACATCTGTAATCCCTATTCAGAAGATCAAATTCTGTTGTTGGATTTAAAAGTCCATATGTGAACCTCCATAATCCCTATTAGAGAAATTAGACCCAATTGTTGGGTATTAATTGTCATCTTTGATTTTCTCTACTCTCCTCCTGCAACTATGAAGAAAGAAAAATCTTTGTATCACTTACTATCTAGTGAAGTTTATAACTGGGCTAGACCCTATGATTTTTTCACTTTCCAAAATTTCCACGTAAAAAATTATTTGATCTTACTAATCTTAAATGTTCCTGCTAAATCTTTGGACAACACTGAGAAGTAAATCATAACGTAAATCACACACACTATCGACTCAAATTTTCTAGCATACAACAAAACTACTTTAGAAAATAATAAAAAAAATTGTCCCAAAATGAACCCTCTTTTGTGTTAGCCTCCCTTGACATGCTTTCTCCCCTTGTGATTTTCGCATGGATCGCAGGCTCCCTCATTCAAGTTTTTTCTTCATATAATAATATTATAATGGGCCAAGGCCTCATATACAATCTCCTCCACAAACGTTGAGCTTCTCAATCAAGCACTCTTCCTTCTTTAAAAAACCTAGTTGCTAATTCGTTCTTCAATGAAGAATGATAATAAAGAAACCTCCTCGAATTCTTCTTCCTTGACTGAAAGCTACCATCGACAAGCCCTTTCTACTCACCTCTCTCTTTAATGAAAAGGTGATAACGAGCTTTATTACTTTCAATAGGAAACTTACACAACTATGATTGTTTTCTTTCATATATGCATTTTTCAATTTTATATGTGCAATCAAACAAATAAAATATTGAAGAGAAATAATATTTATTTACCTAAAATTATACATAGAAAAAATTTATAGTCTTGCCCAAATAATCAACTTTTGAGACAATTACAATGTTAGAATAGTGATAGTGTTGATGACCACTAGTAGGTGTACAAGCATGAGAGCTTAGTGAGCATTAGTTAGGCAAATAATAATGAATTGTAATTTAATATTTGTTTTTGGGCTTAGCGAGCATTTGAGCAAGAGTCTGTAGGAGTTTGTTGATGGTGTCATTTATTAAAGCTACCATCGACAAGCCCTTTCTACTCACCTCTCTCTTTAATGAAAAGGTGATAACGAGCTTTATTACTTTCAATAGGAAACTTACACAACTATGATTGTTTTCTTTCATATATGCATTTTTCAATTTTATATGTGCAATCAAACAAATAAAATATTGAAGAGAAATAATATTTATTTACCTAAAATTATACATAGAAAAAATTTATAGTCTTGCCCAAATAATCAACTTTTGAGACAATTACAATGTTAGAATAGTGATAGTGTTGATGACCACTAGTAGGTGTACAAGAATGAGAGCTTAGTGAGCATTAGTTAGGCAAATAATAATGAATGGTAATTTAATCTTTGTTTTTGGGCTTAGCGAGCATATGAGGAAGTGGCATTCATTAATGATATGCAACTCACTTTGGTCTGTTAGTTGAGAGATTTGACTGTCAACTAAGAGGTCTTAGATTCAAGTCTAGCGTATGTGATGCGTGTATAAGTTTGACTTAGACTTCGTTTGGGATGGCTTTCTTACTATTTCTTAAAGCAGTATTTTAGTACAAAAAAAAAATATTTTTTATACTAAAAAACTACTTTAAGAAGCAGTAAGAAAGCTGTCCCAAACGAAGCCTTAATTGATTTAAATGTCCTAAAAAAATGTAGCTGTTTATAGAAATTAATTCTCCCATAAATGAAATGATTTGGGTTTTAATTATAAATTTAATGAATTTTGATTCAAATCTAAATATGCATTATAATGATAAAAATTAGATGATGGAGATTGTTAACCTATGAGTTCATGCCACTCATTAATGATATGATTATTACATAATTATCCACTATTATCTGATGATTTGTTAAGTGTCTATAATATAGATAAATATTGGCTAAACAATGAAGATGATGACCCATTTCACTAGGTGCTTGGGGCCTTCATAGCTTGAAAATAAGATATAAATGATTAATCAAGTCATTTCAATGAGACGGCATCAAATGGCAACGGTCGGGAGTTAGTCTAATGATGGTGCTCAAGTGAACCTCCAGGAATTTTAGTGGCTCTGGACTTTTTTAATCTCAAGCCAAGAGTTCAAGCCTCAAGCCCACCTTCATGTAGAGGGTGGGCTTATTTTTAAATTTTTGAGTGTGAGATATTCTATAAATATAGTCAAAATCTGAAATACCCCATTAAATAGCCTATATTAATTTCCTTGATTGTAGATTGTTCATTTAGCATTTAAGTGCCATTATGACTTCATAATTAAACAATCTTGGCCTCTTTGGAATTTTAGAGATGTTTGATTCGATTATAAGCAAGCAAAATTTGTAGATAGTTAATTAGTATCCTGATGTTTTTAATTATTCTTTAAGTGCTTGATTCAAGCTCATATGGACTCCGATTAAATCACTTTCCATGTCAATGAATTCGTCTTATTGAGATGTTTAGTTCGATGATAAGTTTGTTAAAATCAGAGTTCGAACAATCCTAAAGTTATTTTAAAATTTTTTATCTCAAATATGCATTAAAATACACACTTAGACTTCGTTCGGGATGACTTTCTTATTGCTTCTTAAAGTAGCTTTCTAGTACATAATTTAAAATTTTTGTATTATAAAGCTGCTTTTAGAAGCATTAAAAAAATCGTCCCAAACAAAACCTCAATCAAGATGATTTTCGATGAAGTATCACTCTCGAATAAAATTCTACCTATTTTTAATGAAACAATTTTATATCCAATATCTAATTAAGTCGTTCTTAACTCAATATCAAGGACATCTTTATGAACTGAAATTCTCATCCAATCCACCAATGCACTCAACGAAAAAGTCAACCAATTCCTTTCTGTATAGACATTGCATTAAATATAATTATTTTACTATTAAAATCGATTTTCCATAGAATTCAAGCTTGCAGACAGTGCAAGAGCTCGTAGAAAAGTTAAGACGAACAAACAAACAGCTTTGTCAAACAAGTTATATCATCAATAATTAAACATAGCTGAGTAGTTGGGATAGTTCCTGAATGCCTTCTTCTAATCTCCAGTAATTAGTAAACAAATAATCCAAGCAAAAATAATGTGGCAAGGCTGGTAGAGCCATCTGATGTGCTAACTTGCAAAAAAATTATAATTTTAAAACCTTTTCTGTTTGTACAAGTAAACTGAGTAAGTTGAGATTCCATTTGGAAAGCAATCAAACATCAGCTTGCTCTTTTCATAAAAATAGAGCAATAATTCCAACCACCGGATTGCTTACAGGTTGAAATAAGAATGGTTCCTTCAAATTTCTTCCAATCCTCTCTCTTGTCTCTATCTCTCTCTTCCTCTGTCTCTCTCCTTTCTAAGAACTGAGAGGGATTTCATGAAGTCCCGAGGCTTTGATCCTTCCTTCACTGGGAGGACTACCCTTACTTTATTCTCTCTTGTCAAGTTTATTATCCTTTCTTCTCTTATAGTCCTGTTTCTTAATGTCTTTCTCTCTCTTTATACTACTGTTTCAAAGCCTTATTACTCCAGTATAAAGCAGCCAATTTTTAAGTTTTCTTCTTCTTCTTCTTTTTCTTCTTCTTCTTCTTCTTCTTCAAACTCTATGCCGTTTTCTATATACCAATCTAATTCTAATATACTACAAGGTTCTTCTTCAGCACCTACTCCCAAAAATCCTTCTCAATTACCAGCTGCTCCGTCTAAAATAGACAAATCTCCCATTTCTTCTCCTCTTCCTTCAACTTTTTCTTCATTGAATTCTACAGACTCCCTCTCTGTTTCTGCTTCCAATAACTTGGATAATTCTTCCATCCCATATAAATATTCTTCTCGAACATTAATCCAGGATTCTTCTTCTACTACTACTTCTATTTCAAACTCTTCATCATCATTTCCTACTGATTACTTGAATTCTTCCATCACCATTAATCAAAATCCAGAAAGACCAGTTGTGAGCAAGAGATCATTACCAAAGGGATGTGATCTATCTAAAGGCGAATGGATCGAAGATCCAAACGCGCCATACTACACAAACTCGACATGTGGGATGATACAGGAGCACCAAAACTGTATCAAATTTGGAAGGCCTAACTTAGATTTTCTCAAGTGGAGGTGGAAGCCTGATGGCTGTGATCTTCCTCTTCTAGACCCAGCCCAGTTCTTGGAGCTAATGAGAGGGAAGACCTTAGCCTTCATTGGAGACTCTTTGGCTAGAAACCAAATGCAGTCTTTAATGTGCCTTCTATCCAGGGTAAGCCTCTAATCATTTTGGTTTAGCTCTTGATTTCTAAATATGTTGATCAATAATTCATACCTAATCTATGATCAAACACCTAATAGATGACCATTAATTCAGTCCATAAGTCTCTCTATCTCTCTCACATCTCTGAATTTATCTCTTGAGTACATGTTTGTGTTAATATTCATTAAATATTTAGTTAATGGTTCAATAAAAATAAAAGAGCTAGAGCATAGTAGACCTATATTTAAGAAAATATGTAGTACAGATTGCTTTTGTGTAGTGGAGTTTTGATCTTAATACTAGATAGGGCAGTTGCAAGTAAGACTATGGGCATTTATTTTAGGTGTTTTAGCAGAGTAAGTTCAACAAAACTTTAATTTAAATATTAATAGATTAGTATATCTAATTTGAACTTGCTCATATAAATTAAAGGAAAATAATTGAGCTAATTAGCATGATTTCTAGCTATTAAATTTAATTTGGGATGATATAATATATAATTAATCAATAATTTTATTCACTATAAAAATTTAGAGTCAAATTTTCTCTAAAATTAAATATCTATATTTGCTTGGCAATTTATGTTTCACTCTCTCATGAGTCCAAAATATTTTTTACAAATTGTTTAAGTCGGTCGCAATCTTTATATTGAGAGTGGATAAAATAAAATTGGGACGTGTGCAATTTTAGAGTAGAAATGCAATAGCAAATCATGAAGTCTTTATCCTACTATGCGGGGTCGACTATATGAATCATTTTTCTCCATTATATTTTATTAAGAGACAAATTCTCATTTAAATATAATTAAAAAAGTAATTTCTAATACTTTCTAATTAAGTTTTTTTAGATCTACATCTACATTTCTTAACATAGCTGAAAACTAATATATCTACTCTTCTAATTGGATCATTAGAAGACGGATAATTTATGTGACCAAAGAGTTACTTTCTTTCATTCCGGAAGTACCCCCGAGAGTTAATAGGAATTCTCTATATTCTAGAACCCCTAAGCCTACGAGCAATAGACTGAAGAGGTACGACATCTGTCCAGTCAGTAACAAAGGAATAAAGGAAGAAAAGCCTGGAGCAAAGAGGTATATAAAACCTCATCTAAGAAGGCCACTTTAATAGCGGCTAGACCAACAAACTCAAGATCATGAAAAAAAAAAAAAAAACCTTGATCATCAGAAGGCGAACATTTTATGTGACAAAAGAGTTACTTTCTTTCATCCGGGAAGTTTCCCCGAGAGTTAATATGAATTCTCTATATTCTAGAACCCCTTGGCCTAGGAGCAATAGACTGAAGAGGTACGACATCTGTTAAGTCAGTAACAAAGGAAAAAAGGAAGAAAAGCCTGGGACAAAGAGGTATATAAAACCTCATCTAAGAAGGCCACTTTAATAGCGGCTAGACCAACAAACTCAAGATCATGCTCCTAACGACATGGACTAGTTTACATATGCCAATGTGTTACAAAACATCAAATCAATTCAAACTTTCAGAAAGTGTAAAGTTTGTACCAATTTGATTAAATTCTCATTTAAATCTAATAAAAAAAGGTGAAATATAATTTTTTTTTTGCAAATGTTTTCATTGAAAGGGTGGCTTAAATTATTATAAAATTTATGCCAATAAATTTTTTTTTTTTGAAGATGAACAACTATCTATCCTGAGCTCTTACTTCAATGAGACAAACCAGAGGAATATGTGCAAATTAGATGTAATTCCGACTATTCATATGTGAATTTCAGGTGGAGTATCCGAAAGAGATATCGTCCTCAGAAGAGAACCTAACACGCATGTTTTATCAAAGCCACAACTTTACCATTTGGTTCTTCTGGTCGCCATTCCTGATCCGAGCAGAGCAATCCAATGAGACCATCTACAACTTCCCTTACTGGAACATCTACCTCGACGAGCCTGACCCGCTCTGGCCATCCCACCTCCCGAACTTCGACTACGTCGTCCTCAACACCGGCAACTGGTACACCCGCCCCACACTCTTCCACCTCAACCGAACCCTCGTCGGCTGTCACTATTGCTCCATCCCCAACGCTCCATACATGAGCATGCGCCGCGCCCATCGTCGCGCCTTTCGCACCGCCCTCAATTCCATCTCCAACGCCGGCAAGCACGGCGGCTTCAAAGGCCTGACCATCGTGCGAACGGTTTCGCCGTCGCACTTCGAGGGCGGAGAGTGGAACAAAGGAGGCGACTGCGTGCGAACGAAGCCGTTTCGGGGCAAGGAGGCGCCGAACCTCGAGGGATTGGAGAAGGAGATGTATAAGGAGCAGCTGAAGGAGTTTTGGAAGGCAAAGTGGGAGGGGAGCGAGATGGGGCTGGAGTTCCGGCTGCTGGATGCCACTAAGGCGATGCTGATGAGACCAGATGGGCATCCGAGCAGGTACGGCCACTCGGCGGCTGAGGTATTGGTCATGTCTAATGACTGCGTGCATTGGTGTCTTCCTGGTCCTGTGGATATGTGGAATGATTTTTTGTTTCGAGTTCTTACCATCTGATGTGTATGAGATTCTTTGGATGGTTTATTTATTTCTCTGTGTTTTATTTATTTGGATTTAGGGGTTATGAAAATGTGAATGATTGTTAAAGCTATTGATTCTTTAATAAATATTCTCAATTCAATTTGTGCAATTTTGGTTCATTAGAGAATTTTAAATATGAATCAAGGGACTGATGGTGATCATCAGCTTTGGTTGAGAAGAGGGATATACTTGGGCTTTGTTAGGAAGAGCTTTTCAACTGCTTTTCTCATAAGGAAAATAATTAGGGCTTTTTGATTGGAATACTTCAAGATTTAAAGTATTGTAAATGTAAGGTTTTAATAATTTTGGTGTTTTGTCAAATGAAAAAGAAATTTTAAGCAAATTCGTTCAGTTTTGCGAGAATGTTTTACATCGAAGTAAGCCTGTTTAATCGCTGCCGATCATTGTCTGCCACCATGGCCGGCCACCACTGTTAGGCACCGCACCCAATGGCAACCACCCCCACCATTGGCGGCCACCAACACCGCTACCCTTCGCAGCTGCCACCATCACTCGCAGCCACTGGTCATTTTTAGACTTTATATTATATTTATTTTACTTTAAATCAAACAAAAAAAAATCACCTTAAAAAAAAAAAAATCTTTAATAAGTTCTCTTATGGCCTATCAAGACCTCGTTCATGCTCAAAAGGAGCTGACTTCAGCAACATAGGTATCACCCGGGTCTAATATTATCAAATTACGCAGTTCTAACTTAGGCTTTATTTGGAACAACTTTTTTGATGCTTTCTTAAACAATTTATTAGTATAAAATTTTTTGAATTAGAAAATTTTATATAAAAAATCATTTTATAAAATAGTAACAAAATTATCTCAAATGAAGCTTTAATTAACTAAATGCAACAAGCAATTCAGACAGTGAACAAACGCCATCAACTACCCATCCAAATCGAAGATTTAATATACAGCTCCAGCACAAGTACTTATACATTCATACGCAAATCCTCAGACGCTGACCAAAAGGCAGAACTTCATGGCAAAATTCTCAAGTAAATTAGCTTTTAGCAGCCATGAAGCTAGCTAAACATGTAACTTATAGAACTGAATATCTGACAACTTAACTAAGAGGAGGAGAAACTGTCTATGATGGTGGTGTGGAGTGGATCACTGAGGTGGGTGGCCCAGTTGTTGAGCGGACCTTTGCCGGTGACGGCGGCCTGCACGGCGAAGCCGAGGAATCCGACCATGGCGAGGCGAGCATGCTTGATCTCGGCGAGCTGTAGCGTGGGCTTCTTCTCTGGGTCAGCTGCCAAGCCCAGCGGGTCAAAGAACTGGCCACCGGGGTAAAGTCTCTTCTCCGGGTCGAGCTCTGCATTCCTTTGGAACTCGATGTATCCGATCACCAACGCCTCGATCCATATCAAGGTTGTGATAGAGAAAGGCAGCGGTTGTCCTAAGTATGAAGATCCCTCCACCAGCTCTACCTGTAAAACCGATAAGATTCAGTCATACAAACAGTTAACTATATATATGAACTTGAAATGACTCTGAAAGTATGATGATCAAAATGAAGAAACTTCTCTATTTAACAACCCATTCAAAGAAATGCATGTGAGTATAATAGAATTCTAACTAGATGTGGCAATCATTACTTTGCAGATTTTATTAATTCCGACTTTTCTTGCTAAATTCCGAATTTTCGAAATCTTATTTTTGGTTGGATTTATGAAATCTGTTGGCTAGAGAGAAAGTTAAATTCATTCTATAGTCAAATAGTCACAGGGGATTTAATAGGATTTATCATGAATGTTACCAAACAGTTTTCAGGATTTTAGGCCCCTCAGGATTTCCGAATTCCGGATTAAGTGATTTTATGAAATCCTACTTAATCAAATCCTGAGTGCTACCAAACAGCCCTAAGAAGAAGATGGGTCCCAAAATTGTTGATGCAGTTTTTACTGGATATGTTCAAGGTAGTAAACCAATAGGTTATTGGCGATGACATGAGATTTGGAGTTCGAATGGAGCAAATGGTGGGACGGCACGAGGTTGTATGGAGTTTGGTTGAAGATAGTCTTAAAAGAAAGTTGTAACAAACGAGATTGCTCTATCATCAATCAATGATCTTATCATACATCAGCTGAATGTTATTCAATTAAAACAACATTATTAAATGTTGATTAACAAGAAGAAATCTTTCTTAGTCTAATCACAGCATGAAAATTTGCATAACATTTTTCTATAGTATAACTGTACAGAGAAAAAGAAAATGCACTAACCTTGCCGGCATCCTGCCAAGTGATGCCGGTGAGTGCCTCAACAGCAAGTGCGCCCAGTGTCGCAAGCATCGCCCAACGGCCATGAATGAGCTCACACTCCCGAAAACGCTGGAGTCCGAAAACCTCCGCATACGGCTGGAAAGGCGTCGACTTGACATCGGCCGTCTCTGTTCTGGTACCAATCACATCACCGGCAAGGTTCTTCGCGAGGTTCTGGTCGAGAGAGTCGAGATCAAACTGCAAGTACTCCGCCGGCTTTCCCAGACCAAAAGGATCGAAGCCATAGTCACCAACTAGAGTTCCGTCTAGGTACTCCGGAGCCTTGGCTCCCGGGTACCAGAGCGGCCGGTCTGAGCTTCCGGCGGACTTCTTCGCCGGCTTCTTTTTTTTGCCAAAAACAAATCTGGCCTGGAATCGCCCACCGGTCGGCGTGGTGACGGTCATGCGCGTGCCGAGGAAGGTGGAGACGGCGGCGGCGGAGGTGGCCATTGGCTTTGAAGGGTTGTTGATGAAGTAAGATTGGAAAGGAGATGGTAGACTAGGCTTGTGCTTCTGCTTTATGAGAAGGGGGGAGTTTTATCTGGACTGATGATTCGGAGATCTGGGACCATAGATCGTGCGGTTGGTTAGGACGATCGAATCAATCTGACGGCAGTGATTTTCGCTGCCTTATCTTCTTATCTCTGAGCTTTGGTGATGAGAGATTTTCATTTGGAGGAAGATGGCAAGGCGCGTGGTTTCATTGGCTGGCAGAAGGGGACTTGTGTGGCTGCAATTCAAAGAAGATGAAGATCTAAAACCTTTTTTTTTTTTTTTTTTCTCATGAAGTAATTGGAAATTTAAAGGAATTTAAAAAAAATAAAATAAAATAGTATGAAATAACTTGAATGATTTATATATCTGAAAATTATTTTTTTTTTTCAAAAATCACCTCACATTAGGTCATGAGAAAAATAAATCTGAAAATTAAGTGTAATTTATCATTTTTTTATTTTTATTTTAAAAAATTATCTCATATTAGGTCATGAAAAAATAGAAATTAATCTTTTACAATAATGACTCGATATCATTTTTTATTTTATCAAATTTATAAGTAGATAGAAATTATATGAGTAATTTCTTATAAAACAAATCTAGAAGAGGACCTCAAAAGTAGATGTGGATTATTATTTTTTTTATCAAGAAAAAAAAATTGCTTCAACATGTTCTACATCATTTGTATCAGGATATCCTGATATGATTTGCATCAAAATGGATAAATTTACATTGAGATTAGTGCAACCCTTCAACATTATATTTTATTAGAATTTAGATATATAATAAATAGCTTTCTTGACACATAATTAATTTGGATAGAAAAAATGTTAAAATAATATATTTTTTTATAAAATTTAGGCATTTTAAAGAACATATGTTTACCAATATTTCAAATGTTCATAAATTATTATTATTATTATTGCATCAAACAATGAGTTTTCCTCTATACCATAGACTTGATCATCTATAGTATTTTACTCTTTTTTGTTTAAAGCGCCTCCCCTCTTGCTTTATTCCAATTAATTAAAGTTTATTTTTGAATATATTTGTCATTTTATTTTAGTTTTACTCTTATTTAAATAAATAAATAATATAAATTTGATGGATGAATTATATTTAAATCCAAAAATTATAAGAAATTCACTTGTTAGCCTTTATATGCTCATTTTATAAGTTTACATAACTCAACAGGTCGCTAAACATATTCAACGATTATTTTTAACTTCAATTTTTGGTTTATCATTTGCACCACTCTTTGATGAATTATAAGCCTAAATAATTTTTGGATTTAAATGTTTATGAAAATTATTTATTCTTAAGCCTTTCTTTGATTATTTCAATTTTGCAGTTAGAAGGACTTTAAACTTACTTATGGTCATATAAGTAGGCCATGTTGAGGTCCTTGGAATGGATAGAATCATTTGCAAACCTCTTTAAAGCTTTCATCTCAAAATTTCTCAAGTTGAAATTCTTTCTTCTTAAAATTAAGAGTAGGCATTTGAAGAACTATGGTGATAGATCAATTACAAAGATTTTGTGCTTGTGTTCTTTCTTTTATGATAAGAGCATGCAAAAAATTTTTGTTTTTTTTCTTTCACTCGATCACATTTCTTTGATTATTCCAATTTTGCAATAAGAAGGGCTTTAAACTTATTTATGGTCATGATGTTGTAATAGTTTGTGTAGCCATCGCATTAGAAAGGAAAGCGTGTTATATTGATTTCTTTTCATCTTGTTGAATAAAGGGGATGTCATGGTAGGTAAATAATATGTTGGGCATAGTTTATGTGTCACTATAAGTGGATTGAATGTAAAACCACATAAATATATTTATGTATTCTTATTTTTATTTCTTATTCTTATGATTAGAATTGTGTTTAGTTTCTTGCTCTAATTTTTTAATTATATGTGAAAAGGTTGGAGTAGCTCCAGTAGAAGATAAGATTAGAGAGAGTCGCCTTAGATGGTTTGGTCACATAAAAAGGCGGCCTTCCAATGACCCAGTTAGGAGAGTAGATGTATTAGATTTGACTTGTGTTAAGAAAGGTAGGGGTAGATCTAAAAAGACTTGGTTAGAAAATATTAGGAATGACCTTTCTTTATTAGATTTAAACGAAAATTTGACTTTTAATAGGACACAATAGAGAAAAAGGATTCATGTAGCCGACCCCACGTAGTGGGATAAAGGCTTGATGTTGTTTTTATTGTTGTTGTATTCTTTATAAGCATTTTGTTTTCACATTAATTTAAAATTACTTCCCCTCATAGAATGCATAACCAACAAATAATATCAAAGCAAGAGCTCATTTTTTACTCAAGAACCAAGATCCACATTGCAGATTTTTTCTCTTAGAGAATCATCATAAGGTTAATCTACACAAACCTTCACTATGTGATAATATGCCATTTGATTATTAGCAAAAATGCATATATGTTCTTAGAGATCAAGATCCTCAGATATGACATATACAAAGGAATATATAATACTACATAAAATTCTAGATAGGAGTTTAAATTGAGATGATACTCGATGAATCAAATTCATCAAATCCAAAGCTTGATCAGCTTAACTCTATTGTAATGAGTGCTCAAAAAGAAAATTCAAAGTTGAAGATGAATTATGTGAACCCTAATCATAAATTAATAGGGAGTAACAAACCAAATTCTAGTCAAAACATAATTTAAATTCGAGTCATTTAAATTGTGCAAAAATGCTATGATACATGTTGACGAACCAATAATCATGCAAGTATAATGAGAAGCATCGCAACACATCTAGTAGCATGTAGAGCATCAAACCCTCACATGATATGTTTGAATAATTGGTAGATATTATAAAATTTGTACATGTCTATAAGTAACTCATGTAAACACCTATATAAAGTGGAGAGGAGTGTGCTAAGGCACTTTAAACTTCAAAATAATCTAAATTTTGTGTTGAGGAATCCAATGCATTAATGACTAGCTAAAGTTGTCATAATGGCTACGTGCGGTGACAAAGTCATTTAAATGATATCCTAACTTATGTGCATTTAATATAGACTTAGTTGATCATGCAAATAAACCAATATGTCAAGTTAAATACGCATTACATCAAAAAAATAATAATAACGTTAGGAAACATGAGTCTCCACACTATAATCAATTAGAGAACATTGGGTCAAATTAATTATAACATTTGAAAGCATTAATGAAATGTGTGATGATATTATAAATTGATTAATACATGACTAACTAATGTTCATAATAAAACTCAGGAAAATTTGATTAGTACATGGCTATAACTTTCAAACATTCTCTTAGTAGACTATATATAAATTAAGATCTTATGGATAAGATTTATTATTGCTACCAATAGCAAAAAATTGGGCACATCTAATGAGAATATCAAGTTGTTGGAGATAGTAAGAAGAAGAAAGACAATTATAAAAAATAAAACAAAGATGAAAATGTTTTGGACGAACTCAAATAGAGAGTCATCGTTTCAGTGAATTAAAGGAGCATAAGTATTTTTTTTTTCTTATGAGAAATTGCAATTTTAAGGAAAACATCCAAAAAAAGTAAAATTTGTAACAATGAGGATAACATCCAAAATGAATAAGCATACTTACATAAATTAGAAATTTCCATACAAACAATGAGATAGTAATACCTAATGATTTACATAAAGAATATAAGATATTGAAGAGTATGCTAGTTTTTTAAAAGAGCATGATTATTTACATAGATTTTTCGTGACTTGAAAATGAATATGATACTTTGAAAGGTAAAATAAATATTTGCATGATAAATCTTTGTTACTTTCCAAATCTAAAATTAAAATTAAATTTACTTTCCAAATCACATCCTAAAATATTTATGACACATAAGAAAAAACATACATGAAAAAAACTCATACATCACTCACATTCAATCAAAAGATATTTTTAGCACCTAAAAATCTCAATAAAATAGAGTTATTAATAAGAATAATATCATATTTGTAAAACCATCAAGATTTACATTTTCATATTTTTTTTAATATAAATGTATTAATTAGAAAACTTTTGTAACAATTGAATGATGAAAATTGTCTTTGATACTTAAATTCAAGTGAAGCTAATAGAATATTTAATGAGAGATATTACTCTAAAAGAATAATTAAAAAAAAAAAAAAGAGCTTATAAAAATAAGCTAGATAAGTTAAGTCGTATTATCATAGAGTTATAGTTGGGTAGAAAAAATAAGCTTGGAGGAACTTAATAAGCTTAAAGAAATTAATACATTAGATAATGTATACAAATCTCAAAATCTTTATATAGGTTAAACTAAGCTCCTTGGGATTGATATAATAAACTTAGTTTCATTAAGAAATTTTTTAGCTAAAATAGATACCACCTTATAACTAAGAGGATTGATTAGCAAGATATTTTTGTTATATAAATTTATGTTGATGATATTTTATTTAGAAAATACTAACGAAACTTTGACACGAGTTCTCCGATATACCGAGCAAACAACTTCAAATGAATATGATGAAATAACTCAATTTCTTGTTGGATTTCAAGTGAAATGATAATAGAATGACACTTTTTTTGTCAAATAAAATATACAAATGAGATTTTTTATAACTCGGATACAAAGATATACAAATTTCATAGAAACCCCATAAGCCGCTCGAATAGGCTAAATATAGATGTGGCCGATAAATATAAAAATAGTAAGCTACATAGAAGTATGATAGATCAATTTTTATACCTTATTAGACTTGAGCCAACATAAAAAAAAAAAACCTATAACAATGAAATTATATTTCATTAATAATTAGAACCCCCATATTAGACTTTTGGTATAAAAAAAATCATTATCTAATCACTTAATAATTTTTATTTGCTAATATTTTTGGGATTATCACTTATGCTTTAATTTAGTATGAAATGAAATTATGACATTATCATTAATAGAGGTATAATATGTCACAATAAAAAGCAACATTGCACATATACTTTAATTAAAGCAACAACTAAAAGATTATGCAAATTAAA